TGGGGGCCACCAACCGAAACTCTTGTTCCCAGGCCATAGGTCACACCTGCTTGGTCAGGATGAGTGTGCCTATGGAGGGGCGAGCTGCATTTTTTTTTAAAGGATTTTATTTATTTATTTTTAGAGAGAGGGGAAGGGAGGGAGAAAGAGAGGGAGAGAAACATCCATGTGTGGTTGCCTCTTCTGTACCCTGTACTGAGGACCTGGCCTGCAAGCCAAGCATGTGCCCCGACTGGGAATCGAACCAGCGACCCTTTGGTTCACAGCCCGCACTCAATCCACTGAGCCGCACCAGCCAGGGCGCAAGCTGCATTTTTAAACGAACGCCCCCAGATGGTTCTTGTTTGAGCCGAAGCTGAGAACCCTTGCAATGCTGACTAAAAATGTGTCCGCAGGCAGCAAGGCGTGGACGCCCTGTAGTCCAACCCCACCACGTCTAAAGATGGAGGAACCGCAGCCCGAAGGAACGGGGCCTCGCTGAGGGGCCACGGCAAGTTGCCGCCTGGCTCGCGGGCCTCTCTGGTGTGGCATGGCTGGGTGGACCGCCCACTCAGGTGGAGAGAGGGTCATTGCCCGGGGCAGCGGGTGAATGCAACTCTATTTGTCAGACCCAGAAGGTGGTACTTGCCCCCTGCGAGGAGGAGGCAGGAGGTGGGGGAAATCCAAAGGAGCTTTTAATAGGTCCGTTTAGGGTAAGTGTGGATGAGGTCACAGAAGGACTCACTTCCCCAACCTGACGGGAACCGCTGGTTTCCTGTTTCTCTCTCCCCGTGATACGATTTGCTTAGAATATTCAACTTACCATTAAATGGCCAGATTTCAAACATGCAAAAACTAGAACCAGGTGTAAGACCAGGAAGACTGGCACCTGCCACTGATCTCTCTGCTCAGCCACCAATTTGCCGTCTGAACTTGGGGAACCCTGGGCACACCGCCCGGTCCCTCTGGGCCCCGGCCCCTGGCCACGAGTCTTTCCCGTTGTCCTGAGGTTCTGCGGCCCTCTGGGTCTAGCTCACTCTACATTAGCCTGCAGCCAAAAGTCCTGCTGGCTCTTCTGCTGAGTGGCCTTTGGAAAGCCGGTGTGGCTCAGTTGATTGGAGCGTCATTCCATAAAGCGAAAGGTCATGGCTTTGATTTCAGGTCAGGGCACATACCTAGCTTGTGGGTTTGGCCCCCTGTTGGGGCGCATTCGAGGGGCAACTGATCAATGTTTCTCACATCAATGTTTCTCTCCCTCTTTCTCTCCCTCCCTTCCTCTCTCTCTAAAATCAATAAGCACGTCCTCAGGTGAGGGGAAAAAATACCACACTGAAAAGATATATGAATAGTAAGTAAGCACATGAAAAGATACTCATCATTACTCATTAGGGAAATGCAAATTAGAACCATACTGAGTTATCACTACATACCAATTAAAATGGCTAAATTGATCATGAATGGATTTACCAGGGATGTGTGATACTGCTGGTGGGAAAGTAAAATTGTACCAACACTTTGGAGAATAGTTGGGCAGTATCTTAAAAAGTTAAATAGCCCTGGCTGGCGTAGCTCAGTGGGTTGAGCACGGGCTGCGAACCAAAGTGTCGTAGGTTCGATACCCAGCCAGGGTACATGCCTGGGTTGCAGGCCATAACCCCTAGCAACTGCACATTGATGTTTCTCTCTCTCTCTCACTATCTCCCTCCCTTCCCTCTCTTAAAAAAAATAATAAGATATAAAAAAATTCTTCCTATAAAGAAAAAAAAAGTTAAATAGACGCTGACCGTATGGCCCAGACGTCGCACTCCTAGGTCTGCACAGGAGAAATTAAATCAGTGCGGATGTCCGCACAAAGCCGACACGCAGCCCCGGCCGGGTGGTTCATTTGGTTACAGCGTCGTCCGGATACGCCAAGGCTGCAGGTTTGATCCTTGGTCAGGGCACATGCAAGACACAACCGGTGAATGCGTAAATAAGTGGAACAATAAATCAATATTTCTCCCTCTTCTCTCTCTCAAAATCAATAAAGACATTTTTTAAAGATTTTATTTATTTATTTTTAGAGAGGGGAGGGAGGGGGGAGAGAGATAGAGAGAGAGCGAGAAACATCAATGTGCGGTTGCTGGGGGCTGTGGCCTGCAACCCAGGCATGTGCCCTGACTGGGAATCGAACCTGCGACACTTTTGTTCACAGTCCGTGCTCAATCCACTGAGCTACGCCAGCCAGGGCCAAATTAAAGACATTTTTAAAAGCTTCTACATGGATGTTTATAGCAGCTCTGTGTATAACAGCCCAAAACTGCAATGCAAATGTCCATCAACAAGCAAACAAACGGATAAACCAATTGTTGAAGGGCCATAAAATGAAAGATTATTCAGCAATAAAAAGGAATCAACTAATGATACAGAAAACATGGACAAATCTCAAGATAGCTATGCCGAGGAAAAGAAGCCAGACCTAAAGGACATTGTGTATGAGTCCATTTATATAAGATCTATAAAATGCGAACTGACCCATAAAGACTGGGAGCGGATCAGAGGCTGCTTGGGGGCAGGGGCAGGAGAAGAGAGGGCGAGAAAGAGGGGGAGGGGCAGGGTATGTGGAATCTCCTGGGGGCACGGATGTATGCTGTCTTGTGGTGACGTACACCGCACTTCAAAACATAAACTGTTTGCATCAAATACATGTAGTCAGCTGTATGTCAATTCTACCCCAATAAAACGGTTTTAAAAATTGTAATGAGCCCTGGCTGGTGTGCCTGAGTGGATTGAGTGCTAGACTGTGAACCAAAGGGTCAGTGGTTCGATTCCTGTCAGGGCACATGCCTGGGTTGTGGGCCAGGTCCCTGGTGGGGGGACACTCAAGAGGCAACCACCCAATGATGCTTTTCTCCCTCTCTTTCTCCCACCCTTCCCCTCTCTAAAAATAAATACAGAAATAAAATCTTTAAAAACAATTGGAATGAGCCTGGAACAGCTTGTCAGACCAGAAAGCAAAGAAACTAGTCATTCTGCCCTGGCTGGCGTAGCTCAGTGGATTGAGCACGGGCTGCGAACCAGGTATCGTAGGTTCGATTCCCAGTCAGGGTACATGCCTGGGTTGCAGGCCATGACCCACAGCAACCGCACAATGATGTTTCTCTCTCTCTCACTCTCTCTCTCTCTCTCTCTCCCTCCATTCCCTCTCTAAAAATAAATAAATAAATTCTTAAAAAAAAAAGAAACTAGTCATTCTGTCAAAAGGATCCAGGTGACAGTTTTAACAGGATGTACTGGCCAAGGATGGGGAAATGGGAGCATCGTGAGGATAATGACTACAATGGATTGAGAGAGAACAAATATGTTTAAACCCATGAGTGTTCACAATGATAGTAATATTAATAAACCTCATTGATTAATAACCTTGGGACATACTAAGGAACCAATTATTTTGAAAACCGCTAAAGGTAAAGAATTACACATCTATCATGCCTCTCTTACACGAAGTGTACTTCAAGTAATCCATTGACGAACGAAGGGATGTTCCTCTTCATGTTCCAGCTAATAAAGCTGAAATGGAATCATCGTTTACAAGGTCTAATCAGTGCGATGCTCATCAGCGGCTGAAAACATCACAGAATGAGGAACAGGCAGGTGTTAGGATCCTCCTCACGGAAGGACACGATACCACATGAGGAGTCTTGTGAGAAAAAACCAAACCTGATCTAGTTAGACCTCTTAAATGTAACTACCAACGTGCAGAGAACACAGGAGGGCAGAGGAAGATATTAGAACAGTGCCGTGGGGATGCCACCAACAAGATCTGGACTGAGGAAAACTAGTTTTCTTAAAAAACAAAATAAAGATAGGAAAGAAAAGAAAGACAAACTGAAAAGGAAATGAAAGAAAGGGCAAGTGAAAAAGAGGAAGAAGGAAATGATAGATTTAAAAAGACAAGAAATATGTTAACCAGTCAAAGTGTATGGTCTGGATGCCAATTCAGACAAACTGTTTTTTTTTGTTTTTTTTTTTTTAAATGACATCTATAGGCAAATCAAGAAAATGCAAATACTAATCCAGTACTTGGTATTAGGAAATTACTGTTGATTTGGGGGTACTCGATAGTTTTGAGGGATATGTTTTAAAAGGGGAATGCTTGTCTTTTAAAGACACATTCTAAGTATTTGCTGGTGAAATCATAGGCTGTCTCGTATTTATTTCAAAACAACGTTGGAGGGGAAGATGCAAGCACAAAGGAAACACGACTGACCATGAATTGTTTAATTCTTGAGGAATGACTGTGTGTGGTTACATTAGGCTATTTTCTCTAATTTTGTAGATGTATGAAATGTTTTTAAACTGTGCAATAAAATGTTTTAAAAATATGCGTCAAAATGATTGCACGAACGTGAAAAGTGCAATTTAAAAATCAGGAAGACATACTATCTTGTGAAACGCTGACGTTACTTGCTTGACAGCGGTAGGATGAGTCATTTCCCCCTTAATTTCTACATCTTCAGTAATGTGTCTGTACGTTTTCATGAGAAAATACTCGTAATAAGCCCTAGTAGGAAACAAAACCTCTCTTTTTGCCGTCCTCTTCCTGGTCTTAAGAACCCATCTGTTCTTTCCCCCATGTCCTCCAAGTTTTTGCTAAGCTTCTCGCCATCTTTTCCAAATTTATATTATCCAGATTTAGGGACCACAAGGGTTTTGATGAAAGCGGATCAAACTCAGCGACCCCTGACCTTCGACCTCCCGCAGGGTGATTGTAGCAACTTCGGAGGCCTGACTTTGGGGTCAACTTCCCTCCCACACACGGTAACAGGCGCGCAGGCACATGCGCACTCAACAGGACTACATCTCCTAGGAGGCTTTGCGCTTTGGTAGGAAAGGACTAAGTTACCCAGTGACGCTTGTGGGAGGTGTTGTTCGATAAACGCTGCAACCATTGGTCTAACGTCTGTCGGAAGCTGCGCGATGATTGGTCCAGGAGCCCGTCAGTTACTGCCGAGCGCCGTTGAGTTTTGCTGTTGACTGCGTGAGGAGGGCTGGGGAGAGCGGAGCTAGGGGAGCCGGGCGGTGCCCTAGGCTGGGTGAGTGACCTCTTCTTCCGCCTTCTTTGAGGTCCGCTGCGGGACCTGCACCCTTGCTCGCCGGAGGGAGCACACGTGCGCAGGTACTCTCGTGGGGGCGGGGACTGTACGCGCGCGTGTCATGCCTGAGCTGAGAAGCCTCTTCATGGATGCAGGAGGGAAAACCCCGCACACACATGGGGCATCTCTACACGCGGGTGCCCACCTCGCGGGCGTCTCCGCGGACTCTGGAAGCAAAAACACTCCCTAAAGCACGCCTGGACACGTGTGTTCGCACGCGGGTACATCTGTAGAGACCCTCACCTGAACACACGGGCAGAAGAGCACACAGGCTCGGGGCGTGGCACCTGCTCACCGCAGCACCTAGGGCTTTCGCCCTAAGAGAATGGGGTGGCTGCGGCAGTCGCTCACGCACATCCCACGCCCCCTCACCCCAGCGGACCCCCTCCCATTTTCTGGGAGCAGTGTTATATATGCTGTACATGTAATCATATTTCATTTTTATGTTGTCTCTTTAGATAAATGTCAAGGGTTACTGGTACAAGAAGGAAAAAAATTTAAAGATTTTATTTATTTTTTAGAGAAAGAAGGGAGGGAGGAGAGAAGGAGAGACCTGTCAATGTGTAGTTGACTCTGCAGTGCCCCCTACTGGGGACATAGCCCACAACCCAGGCATGTGCCCTGACTGGGAGTTGAACTGGCGACCCTTTGGTTCGCAGGCCGGCACTCAATCCACTGAGCCACAGCAGCCAGGGTGCAAGAAGGAAATTTTGAACAGCAGAAAAAGTAAGACCACCACTGGACTATATTTAAACAGCCCTTTCACATGTTTAAGACTTTAAGCATTTTTACTAAGCTTATCACATGTGGTTTCCTGCATGAACCTGGCAGCAATGTAGGCTAGGCAGGGTGGCCATCATTCCCACTTTCCAGAAGAGAAAACGGAGCCCAGGTTAAAGAAACCTCCCAAGGTACATGGGAGAGGCAGAACGTAAGGGTGTGTCCAGCTATGCAGTCTGCTTATCTGTGAAAATCCCTCCCTCCCTCTGCCACAGCGGGGGACTGAGCCTGCTCGTTGTGACTTGAGTGGTCCCTGGGGACCTGGGGAGGGCGAGGCTTTGCCTCTCAGTGGCCTATGCCTGCTTAAACTGCTCCTCACAGGTGCCCGGGGAAACGCAGCTGGAACTAATCTCACAGAGTTGATAGGAAAGGCTATTGTCCTCCTTTGAGGCAAGCAAAGAAGGCACCGAAGCAGGCCCGGTTACAGACGGTCAGGGAGCTGTTCTGAGGAGGTGTCATGCCAGCAGCGACCCTGAGAACTTGCTCTAGTGTTCAATCCTGTCCTTTGCATTTAGCTTGAAGCTGATGGACATTGTATGGGCCAGAGGCAGGGATGGTCGGCTATGACCCCAAAGCAGACAGCAGGAATATCTCCAGTTTCGAGGTGGCAGTGGCTGGGTCCGTGTCTGGATTTGTCACTCGAGTGCTGATCAGCCCCTTGGATGTCATCAAGATCCGTTTCCAGGTACCCTCTTCCCCTTTGTCCATGGACTAGAGGACAGGTTCGCTCTTTCTTGCCAAAGCAGTTCCTAAGAAGAGCTGGACACTTGGTGAAGGAGATGTGCTTTGTTGCCTTTGTTACCTTCCCTGAAGCGTCTCCGTCTCACCCAGCCCTGCCCGTTGTCCTGACCTTTTCATTCTGATTCCCAGCTTCAGATTGAGCGCCTGTCTCGTGGTGACCCCAGCGCAAAGTACCATGGGATCCTGCAGGCCGGGAGACAGATCCTGCAGGAGGAGGGCCCGACGGCATTCTGGAAGGGGCACGTTCCGGCCCAGTTTCTCTCTGTAGGCTACGGAGCTGTCCAAGTAGGTGGCAGGGGAACCGCCAGGCCCCTGGGGACGGGCTGCTCGATGGGGCAGCCCAGGGACGCTGCCTGGAGGGTCGGGCAGCAGAAGGTGGTTCTCACACTTCTCACAAGCCTTAGCCGGGAGCCCACCTGACAGACGGATGAGTCAGACCGAGCTGTGTCACAGGCTTCCCTTCCCCACGCCCCCCACCCCCCGGGGGCCTGAGCACCAACTGAATATTAGGTGTGGCCCCTGGGAGACTGTTGACACCACAACGCAATGGGGCTTGGCCAAGGGTGACACAATGCTTTTCATTTTCCAAATAGCATTTTCACATCTGTGTTTCCTTTGAACTCCCCGCAGCCCTGTGAGGGAGGTAGAGCAAGTGTTATGTGGAACAGAGAGGTTAAGTGAGCTGCCCAAGGCTGCACAGCCTGTAAATAGTGGGTCTGGGACTAGAATCCAAGTTCTGGACTCTCGTTTGCTCTTTGGCGAAGTGCTAATTTATTTCACAGTGTATTTAACGCATGGTGAACAGCGCTGCGCAGGGCTAAGCGGGGGTCAGGCCCTGTTTGAAGCACTCTACGTCTGTCACCTCACAGCAGTCCTCTGAGACAGGTCCCCCCCCAGTCCTACAGACGAGACACTGAGGCAGAGAGCGCTTGTGTAATTAACCCAGCCCACGTCATCCGCTAGAAAGCGCCAGAGCCAGGATTCCCACCGGGGCAGCTGGCGCCCCAGCGGCCCCTGCCTGCTATTCCTCGCACACCGCAGCAGTGGCTGGGGTCCGGCGCACACTGCGCTGATGCGCCCCTGCCGTCTGGTCCGTGCGCTGGCACGCAGGCACTGCAACGTCACGAGTGCGCATGTGCAGCAGCCTGTGCTCTCGGGACCCCGAGCTGGCTTGAGTTGGCTGCAGGGGGATCTGAGCGTCAGAGGGGTAGCACCATGGAATGTGGAGTATGCGGGATTCTCCCGACAGAACAGAACGGCTCCAGGGCAGGACGCGTCTCAAACAGTGTCCCTGTGGCCGCACTGGACGGGCCCCTGTCTTCAAGGGTCAGATAATGGCCACCTTCTCCCAGGTCTCAGGGAACTTAAGCTAATGAATAGATTTTTCTGATACAAATTTTTTCTCCTTTCTTAACCCTCTGAGTATTTGGCTTAACTGCAGTGGAGTATAAAATGGCGTCTGAGCTGCACAAAATTATGTTTATTGTAGTCTGTCATTGCTCAGGACGATTATTTTTTTCCTTCAGACTGGGCCCCATCTGGGGCATGGGTCATAGCGGGTATATTTCAGGGTGCTCATCCATGACGTTGTCACAACTCTTGCAGTTTTTGTCGTTCGAAATGCTGACGGAGCTGGTGCACAGAACTGGCGTGCATGATGCCCGAGACTCCTCCGTGCACTTCGTGTGTGGCGGCCTGTCTGCCTGCGTGGCCACCCTCGCCGTGCATCCCGTGGACGTCCTCCGCACCCGCTTTGCAGCTCAGGGTGAGCCCAAGGTGAGCGGCCCGGCCGGAAAAGGGGCGCCCAAGTAACGGAAGGCGACCCAGGAGTTGGGGCTCTTTTCCTGAGAGGGAGCAAAGCTGGTGGAGGTGGGGGTTTTCGGCCCACGGGGTCAGCTCGCTGGTGAAGCCCGTGGCCGTGCTCAGCGCCGACTCCGGCGCCCGCACCCTGACCTGGGAGCTGGAACCTCCCGGGGCGATCACAGCAAACACCGCCCAGTGGGCTGGACGGGGAAGGCGTCGGGAAATCCGGAGCATGGGGCTTGAGGTCACGTTGCCGCATTATTGTGAGAATGTTTTTGGTTTCCCCAAAGACGGGGTTGGAGGAAATGGGTCAGACTCCAAGAACTTAATGAGTGAAAGCAAGGGGTTCAACCCAGAAGTAGGCCTCCCCACCCGCACCTGTGTTTCCTGGACACGCCCTAGTGTCGTGTGTGCGTGCGCATGCGCGTGCGCACGTGTTCCCAGCCCAGGAAGAAGGATGCTTCTGCCGTCCCCCTTCTGCTGTAGGACATCGTTGCTGGGGAATGATGCTTTGCTCAAGGATTCAGTCTGGGACCAGTTAAGAACAACTGCGGTTTCAGTTCTGCTGGTGGTTCGCGTTGCCTGGGGCGGCCATCCTGGGCCGGGGGAGCCCTTTTGTTTAGGAGACATCCTGACGGCTTTTTTGGTAGAGGAGGGCAGAGTGCCCTGGGGACAGTCTGGAAGGAACCGCTGGGGGCCTGAGAGCTGGATCGCTCCACAAGGCGCTTCGGTGGAAAGCAGAGGAGAAACGAGGCGAGGGCCCCCGGGAGGCGAGCAGAGCAGGGGAGGGGAAGGGCAGGAAGGGCAGGCCTCAGCAACCAGGTGGCTGGGGTGACGAGAGGTGGCCGGTGACGGTCCTCCAACTTCTCTATCTGGGAATGCTGCGGTCCGCTCTGTCACTTTCCAGCATCTAGTAGAAGCCTGTGGGAAGGAGAAAGTGAAGACAGGATTAACACGGGAGAACCGTGGCCCTGGCCGGGTCGCTCAGTTGCATAGAGAGTTATCCTGATACTGCAAGGTTGCGGGCTCAGTCCCGGGTCAGGGCACAGACACGAAGCAACCAATGAATGCACAGATAAGTGGAACAAATCGATGCCTGTCTCTGGCTAAAATCAATTAAAAGACAGAGAGAGAGAGAGAATCACACATTACCTATCTGGCTTAGATGAGTGAGATGTTGGATTCTAGATTCTGGAATGACAAGAAAATTGCCTATGCTCGGAAGTGAGGAGAAGACACCTGTTTTGAGAACTGCAAGGCTCCGTCTTCCTTAGAAGAGTAGCACCCGTGTTGTAAACCCTCACCTTCAAAGGACAAGAAAATCAGCAATGTATGAGGTGTATAGATGGGTGGTTTCTCAAGAATCATAACACCAGCCTCGCCCCTGACACCACCCCAGATGCAGCCTCTCATAATGCTTGTGGCTGTTTCTTCCGTTAGTTACCTTCTAGTCCTCAGTAGCATGCTTGCACCAACCACTCTTTGTCTCCCTCCTCTTCTTCCCCTCCCTCCCTCCCTCCCTCCTTCTTACTCATCAACATTAACTACGGCTGCTGCTATGGAAGATGAGGGTCTAGCTCCTTTACCATCGCCCCCGTGTGCTGGAGTTCCCTCCCCGCTGTGATGACAGTATGGCTGGTCAGGAGATGTCGGCTCAATCAGTCCTCGGTGTTGGTACCACTACAATTACATAGATGTGGTTACTGCTGAGCCTTAAAATATGTTATGATTATGTTTTCTCTTATACCTTTGTTTTTCCTGAAGTTGGGAAAGGCTGTGTGTTTTATTTGTTTAGCTTTGTACACGCTTAATGCAGATTCTCCCTCAAACCCTCTGTCGATAGGGTCAGCCACGGCCTTCAGTGCCGCGTTACTGTGGAGCCCCCCCTCCCCGGAGTCCCCACACTGGTACCCTCCGCGCCCCCCCCCCGGCTTCAGTCTGGACTGTCCGCTCTGTGACCGTGGCCAGCTGTTCTCTGAGGAGTCCTCTCCTCGGATACTGTGTCCTCTCTTTCATTTTCCCGGGTGAAGTCTTGATAGGACATGCCTTTATTTTGCCCTTACATTTGACTGCTGATTCGGGCATAGCATTTGTAGGTGGGTCTCAGTGCTGCTGCAGAGAACCATTCTGATTACTGGTCCTTCACATATAAGCCGTCTTCCCCTCTCCCCTTCCCCACCCTACAAGCTTTCGGGATGTTTCTTGGTCCCTGGCACACTGGAAATGTGCGCTTGTGTGGGTCCCCTACTCGTCGTGGTGGGCACTGCCTGGACCTTCCGGCCTGGGCGCTTGTGTTCTTCCTGCCTGGAATGTGGTCGTGAGTGATTTACGCACCATCTTCCTTCTTCCTGGCATTCGCGTCAGTTGGACATCCAGGGTCGGCCCTCCGATTGCCTGAGCTTTTCTCTGCCCGTGTCTGGCTCTCTCTGTCTTTCTGTCCTCCTTCTGGGGGGCTTTCTCACCTCTACCACCTGGGCCCCCCACTGAGTTCGCGAAGTGTTTGCTGGCGCACGGTTGTTCCCGGGAGCTCCTCTCCAGTGCGCCTGTGTCGGTCGGGTCTGTTGAAGCATAGCCTGCGTCCAAGTGCGCAGTGCGAAACGGCAGAGCGTGAGACGTCCACCCAGGATACACAGGACACGGAACAGGGGTCGTCGCCATCCTGGAGGAACAGAGGGCGCGGCGGGGCTGGGGCGGGAGGGAGAGCCACCATTATTACTGTGTATGGGGACGGAGGGGGGGCTGGGGGGGGGGATCTGCGCAGGCATTCGTTTCCTCCACAAACACTGCCTGCCCTTCTGTGTTTGGCTGTGAACTTGGGGAGAGCAGCCCCCGTCAGGCACACGGACTGCCGCCGCCTGCCGTGGCAGGCACACCGGGCTCTCGGGCTCTTTCCGTGGCTGTGCCGTAGTCGGTGTGCCCAGCCCCCTGCATCTCGGCCTCTGCATCTCGCAGCACACGTGCTTTGCACACTCATGCAGATGGATCGGTTGTGTAAATACCGTGTTTTGCTGTGTATAGTGCGCTCTTTTTGAGGGGAGAATAAGGATGTGCATTACACACAGGTATAATGACTACATACCACAGGTATAATAACCCCGTGTGTAATGCGCCCAAAACCGTGGGTGTGCATTACACACGGGCGTGCATTCTATGGCAGCCGGAAGGGAGGCCACCCCGGGGATTTTTGTCCAGCGTGCGGTTTGTCCCCTGGGCAGGAGAAGGCAGGCTCCCCGGAGTGGCGTGGGGACCGAGCCGTGCTGGGCTGCGTCCTCCCCGTGCTCACCGGAGTTGCGCGTGTGCCCTGCAGGTGTATAAGACCCTGCGGGACGCCGTGGCCACCATGTACAGGGCCGAAGGCCCCTGGGGCTTCTACAAAGGCTTGAACCCCACCTTGATCGCCGTCTTCCCCTACGCCGGGTTCCAGTTCGCCTTCTACAACTCTCTGAAGCGCCTGTACGAGTGGGTCGCGCCCGCCGAAGGAGTGAAAAGCGGTGAGACTGCCAGAGCTGTGACGTCTCTTTCTGAATCACGCAGGAAGTAAGGTTTTCCTGTCAGGAGCTCAGACAGCACGGGTGTCTGAACCCGGCTCTGAAACGTTTCTCCCAGCCCTCGCCACGCCCGCCAGTGGCACCACCGGCACCCATTTCCAACTGCTGGCCGTGGTTCCAGTTTGGTCAGAGGTCCACCCTGCAGACGGCCGGCTTTTGGCGGTTGTGTGTTTTGCTTGGTTTTTGTCTTGGAAGGATGTGGAGGAGGAGGAGGGGCACCCCGCTCCCTCATCAGCGTGAACGGGGCGACGCCGCAGCGCCTGGGCCCTGTGGCCTCCGGCCGGGGAGATGACTAGTACAGGCTCCCGCCCATCCTGCCTCCGGCCTGGCTGGCCTGCCGGCCCTGGTCGTTCTTGCCAACAGTGGCTGTGTCTGGTTCTCCCTTTCCTGGATTAAACTCCCCCGAGAGCAAGGATGCCGGCGGGCCTTTGTTTTACGGTGCAGGATAGAGCCGATAACCGTGACGTTGTCCAACCTAAACTGCATTTTTCTCCTTTTCCCCTCGACCCCACTTTTCTGGGTCAGAAAACCTCAAAAACCTGCTTTGTGGCAGCGGAGCCGGAGTCATCAGCAAGACCCTTACGTACCCCCTGGACCTCTTCAAGAAGCGGCTGCAGGTGGGCGGGTTTGAGCAGGCTCGAGCCGCCTTCGGCCAGGTGAGCTGCCCCTGCTGACAGCGGTGACCCCGGCCCCTCACTGGAGGGGGGAGGGCCCGTCGGGGAGAAGGGCGGGGCAGAGCGGGAAGTCGAGTTCCACGTGACCACCAGGCCTCCGAGCTGAGACTTGGCTCTGCACGGTGTCACTGTTGTCGTCTTCCTAAGGAGTCACTGGTGCCTTTGGAGGGGAGCCAGGTGTGTGGTCACCTAGAGAAGGCCAGGCTAGAGAGGTGGCGCTGGTCAGCCTAAGAGCTAATGAACCCTGGCTAGGTAGCTCAGTTGGTTAGAGCGTTGTCCTGATATGCCAAAGTTGTAGGTTCGATCCCCGGTCAGGGTGCATGTAAAAAGCAACCCATGAATGCATCAATAAGTAGAACAACACATCAATGCCTGTCTGTCTGTTTGTTGGTCTGTCTCTCTCAAATCAATAAATAAAAATGAGCCCTGGGTGGTGTAGCTCAGTGGGTTGGGTGTCGTCTGGCAAGCCGAAAGGTCGCTGGTTCAGTTCCTGGTCCGGGCACCTGCCTGGATTGCAGGCCGAGTCCCCACTTGTGGGTGTGCAAGATGCAGCGATGTTCCTCTCCCTGTCTTTCTCCCTCCCTTCTCTCTTTGAAAATTAAAAATAAGTAAATAAATAAATAATTTTAGAAAGAAGCTAATGAGGGCCAGATTGAGACCTACTTCCCAAGGGGGACCAGGTGGGATGGCGGGGGGCAGGGTCAGGTGCCTCTGGGAGGAGGCCCCAGAGCGCCCACCGGGTCTGTCAGAGCCACCGTCGGTGGCAGCCTCCGGGGCAGGACGGGGCCCTGTCCAGCGCTGACTTCCAGGCACTGCAACCATTAAGTCCAGACTTGCCCACTTGGAGGAGAAAGCACGAGGTCAACTTTTTCTCTGCCTTTTCACACCCATTCCTTTATCCAGCAAGTACTTATGGGAGCTCTGGCGTGCCAGGCATTGTGTTGACAGACGAACAGAGTCACGTCCGAGTGTAGCCACCTCCCCCCTCATCCCGAGTCACCCCCCTCTCCCCAGGTTCGAAGCTACCGGGGCCTCCTGGACTGCGCCAGGCAGGTGCTGCGGGAGGAGGGCGTGCAGGGCTTCTTCAAGGGCCTGTCGCCCAGCCTGCTGAAGGCCGCCCTCTCCACCGGCTGCGTGTTCTTCTGGTACGAGTTCTTCTGCGACCTCTTCCACCGCATGAGGCAGGCGCACAGCTAGCCTCGAGGGCTGGGAGGCGGCCTGAGGTCCCTCACGGAGGCGGCCTCCTGCAAGAAGACTTGACCTGCGACCTCGAGTTGCACCGAGAGCCGCTGCCTGGTCCACCGAGCCTCCAGCTGCCCCGAGCACAAAGAGCCACTGGGAGCAGGCTGTGGCCTTGATCCCGACGCACTCGGATGCCACCGGAGGGCAAGGGCTTTCTCCCTGCGTGGGCACGGGGGCCGTGGAGGACTTGGTCCATGGGACCCCAGCCCCTCCAGTCAAGGAGCTTGAAGCCTCCCCGCCATCCAGCCCACACTCAGGGGAGCAGCCGCCTGCCTTCCTGCACTTCCTAGCCCGCCTGCCCAGAGAGCCCTCCTGGGTGGGGCCACCGCTTAGGGTGGGGGCTGGGACTTGCCCGTGGCAGGGGCTTGGTCCCCACCTGGGCTCTGGTTCCCCGCAACTTATTTAATAGACATTCAAGCTAAAAGCACATTCCTTACCTCTCCCTTCTGCCTTCCCTCTCCAGTCACATCTCTCCTGGACACCAGCTGTGCCCAAATCCCATTTTCTCTGTAGTTGTGTCCCTCAGGCAGCTTCGCTTCTAGTTCCAGGGAGGAGTCTAAGCTGAACTGGTCACTTCCTAACCCCACATTCAGAGCTTTGCATCTGAATGTACCAGTGAGGCTCCTCTCTCCCTGGGCAGGGGGCTCTTGGGGAGTGCAGGTGCAGCAGGAGGTGGGGGGCTGTGCTAACGAGAGGAGATGCAGGAAGGCGGCAGTTCCTTCTCCCCTGTCCACCCAGAGTGGTTCCTCTTTTGGGCTGGGGCAGCTCTCCTGGGGGGGTGGGAGCTCACAGCTGGGCCAGTTGGGGTCCGTTGCGCTCTCAGCGTCCTCTGGCTCGGGATGGTGCTCTGTGTCTCCTCCGTAACCCCAGAAGGGCCACAGCTTGGATGCAGCCCGGTGAACGGGGTGGTGGGAGGAAGGGACTGGACAGACAGGTGATGCCCAGGAGTGGTGTCAGAGCACAGGAACCCACAGCGGGTAGCCAGGGACCCAGCCAGGCACTGAGGGGGAACTTCAGCTAGGGCTCTGGTGGGAGGAGAAAACCCACAGAACACGGCCACCACCCGCCTCATCTGGTCTCCCAGCGCCAGGGGCACCTGCTCTGGGGGGTGGGCTCTGTAGGGACAGCCGGGATGGAGGGGTACCAGGTCCCACGCTGGGCTCTGACTGCGGACTCTGCTCTGGCTTACGAACCCCCAGCTGGGAGCTGGCCTGGTGTGGGGTGTGGCCCTTGCTTCCCAGGGAACCTGGGCCCTTCTCTCAGCATTACTACTTTATTCTTGTCTGGGTCTTTGTGATCGGTGGGGGACCCCGAACCCCGAAGCTCGCCTGCTGATTGTGAAGGTCCAGACTGTGGCTGAGGGCCGGGCACCCACAGGGCTTTTGGCACTGAAGGCCTGGGTTTGGCACTGCGGTGAGGCAGCTGCCTGAATGTATTTTGTATGAGATTCCATTGAAGTAAACTCTATTTTCTTCATCTCTCCTGCTCCCTGGTTTCTTTTGCTGCAGCTGACAGTTTCTGCCGCATCCGTGTTCTGGTGACTACTTTGGCCTCTCTCCCAACAGGAGACCACCGTCAACACTTCCCTTAAGCGGCAGTTCCTTCGCAGCCCCCTTTGTATGCCCTCCCCCTCTGGCAGCCCGGGTTTGGGCCAAGCCCCTGCGGCTCCTCCCACGCCGTGCTGCCCTGCGGACTGGCCTCTTCTGACCTGGTTTTAACCTGCGCCCCAGGCGTGGGGCGGGGTGCCACCGTACAAGACCCAGGGTTTCATGCGGGTGGAGAGCAGATCTGGCCCAGCGCTGGCGAGCCCTGAGCAGGCCAGGGTCAAACCGGGTGAGGAGAAGACAGGCAGTAGTAGCGGTGTCACCCAGGTCCCACGCGGCCCTGCCTGGGTCCCACGCCGGGGCCCTCCGGGCAATCCAGGAGACCAGGGCAGCGTCACCCGGGCTCCAGCAGGTGGCGCTGGCGAGGCGGGTCCGTCTCGGATCCGCCCAGGCTCCGCCCCTCCGCAGGCCCAGCCGGGCGCCGCGCTAGGAAATGACCTAAGCCTCGGCAAGGTGCGGTGGGTCTCGGCAGCGGCGCCGCGGACGCGGGTCGCGCGCACCATGCCCGCCGAACAGCCTCCAGGCACGCGGGCGCGGCACCGGGCCGGCAGGTGGGTCCTGGCGCTCACACCGCTTCTCCCTCCCGCAGGGCCCCGGGCGGGACGGCGGGTTCTGCTGCCGGCCCCGCACTAATGCGAAGGGCGTTTCGGGCTTCGGGAAGAAGCTGCCCAGGTCTGGAGACCCCTGAGATCATCTCCTTTAACTAGGGGGGAGGCACCGAGTCCAGAGAGGGGACTCTACCTCCGAGGACACGTCTGCCCGCTCCCCGCTTTAAAGAGGAGGGATTTCGAAAGGAGCTCAGGAATTGGGAGCCCTGAGTGGGCAGAGCCGGGTTTCTGCCACTTGGGAGGCCAGTTTAACCAGTTCGTCCTGGGGCGAAGCTGGCTAGGACAGGGGAGTTTGGACTTCCAACCGATGGGGCGGCAACGAAGACTCTTCCACTCACCCACGCAGCCCGGCCCCAACCCGAGGGCTAGAGCAGTGGGTTCCGTGGACTGCGAAGGACTCTGTCTAAAGCTGAGGGAGAGGGTTGGCGAGAGGGACTTGGAGCCTTGGAACCCTGCTGGGACAGCTGCGTGCGGCTTGGAGCCCCCAGCCCGCGCACTGGCCCCAGAATCCTGCCGAGCCAGCAGCGCCCAGGCCGCGTTACCTAGGCAGGGCGAGTGTCTAATGTGCACCCACCCACACCCCCGGCCTGCGCACCGCCCCGGCAGCTGAGCTGAGAATTGCTCTGCCTCCTGTTGGGGCTGGAGGATAAACCCCGTCTCCCTTCATCTCTTGGCTGTTATGTAATCCCAGACGCAACAGGGGCTCTGAAACTAAGCAGCAGGTGCCTGGCTGGTGCCCAGTCTCCACCAGGAGCCAAGCTTGGTGGGCACCCAGCCGGCCGCCAAGTGCCAAGGGCCGCCCAGGAGTACCTGTCCTGAGCCCTGGGCAGCCCCACTCATTCCTGCATCCTGGGAACCCCAGCTCTGCGCTCCGCATCTGAGGCCTCCCCATTCGTCTCTCCTCCCCAGGTGCTGTCACTAATCCCGCCCCAGTCAAGAGCTTCCCCGGGCTGGACGGTCATGGGGGAGCCAGGTAGAGAGGAGTATAAAATCCAGTCTTTCGATGCTGAGACCCAGCAGCTGCTGAAGACGGCACTCAAAGGTGAGCGTGGGGAGCCCCCCTGAGCCTGGGTCCGGAGCTGCAGGCAAGGGGCCACCGGGACAGGACTGGAGGACTGAGCCTTAGCCTGGGAATGTCTAGCCCCCTCTCTCTCTCTCTGGTTCCCGTGGTTAGGAGTCAACAACACAGCCCTCAAATGGAAAGACAAGCTGCATGCAGGCAGCTTTGGGAGTGTGAATCATAGCCACCCCCCCCGCCGCCCCCCCCAGACTGTAGCGCTGTTTTTTGGAAAGTACGAGTACCCATGAAGGGGGGTGGTGTGGGGCGCGGGGAGCACAGTCCCTGCCCCTTTAAGTCCTCAAAGTGGAGCTGGTTTCTGCAGCCGGCTCCCTCGAACGTGCCGAGCTGGCTGCTTGACTCGTGGCCGAAGACACGCAGTCCCTGTGCCGGACCAGGGCCTTCCCGCAGCGCTCGGAACAGAAGTGTGACTCAGCTAACAAGGGGCAGCGCCCACCACATGCCAGGCTAAGCCTGTGGGTTTCGAGTGTTCTGAGAACACGTCCTCCTGTAAAACTGCTGTCAGAGACAGCTCTTGAGTGCTCCTTCCTCAAGCTAGCGCCAGAGATGTGTCCTAAAGACCGGGCGTTCTCTTGATTAGTCTCTACAGCCGCATACACGCCCCCGCGCCCCCCCTTCCCTCTGACTGGGCCAGCAGAGCTGGAGCTGCTCCTGTGTGGCTACTTCTCTGCATGTTTTCTGGCCTTTTTAAATGAAATGTGAGGGCACCTCGATAGGAGTGCGCTTTTGTGAACACCCGCGATCCTTAGGAGCAGGTGGAGACTGCCTGCCTATCTCTACCCCAGATCCAGGTGCCGTGGACTTGGACAAAGTGGCCAATGTGATTGTGGACCATTCTCTGCAGGACTGTGTGTTCAGCAAGGAAGCAGGACGCATGTGCTATGCCATTATTCAGGTTGGGTAGGGCTGGCGGAGAAGAGGGGAGACGCTCTGAGCATGGTGCTTCAGGAGTGGGCCAAGATGCAAAGGACTTCCCTCAGAGGCAGAGACAGGAGTAGGACAGGAGGGTCTTCAGCCACGGAAGCTTGGGAGGGGGTCGTGACAGCACCACTCCCCTCTCCCCCCGCCCCCACACCCCCCACCCTCTCTGTCTCGGCTCACAGGCAGAGAGCAAGCAGGCAGGCCAGAGTGTCTTCCGGCGTGGACTCCTCAACCGGCTGCAGCAGGAGTACCAGGCTCGGGAGCAGCTGCGCGCCCGCTCCCTGCAGGGCTGGGTCTGCTATGTCACCTTTATCTGCAACATCTTCGACTACTTGAGGGTGAGCCTGGGGCAGCCACCCCGTGCACCAGAGCCGGCCTGTCTCCCGAGGCCACTGAGCTGGTGCTCTGACCCCTGCTCTCCCCCACAGGTCAACAACATGCCCATGATGGCCCTGGTGAACCCCGTCTATGACTGCCTCTTCCGGCTGGCCCAGCCCGACAGTCTGAGCAAGGAGGAGGAGGTGGGTGGCCCTGGCACGGAAGGCCGTGGAGGTGGGTCTGTAGTTCGGGTCAGAATACCAGCCCAGTGCCGGTGGGGGCTTGAGGGCATCCCTTTCTGGGGCAGGAGCCTGGTGGGGACAGTGAGGGCCTGTCCCAGTCACAGAACAAACTGCCAGGCCTGGAATGTACCCAGAACAGACCGCAGCCTGAAGCTACGGGCTCTGAGGCTTCCTTCCAGCAGGAACGCCAACCCACGAGAGGAACGGGGGGGCCGCGGCCAGCTGTGGACAGGGCCGGCCGGAAACCGAGCCAGGACCAGGCGGTGTGGGGGGAGGTAGAAAGTGGGTTAAGCAGCAGTTTGGGGACAGGGCCCCAGTCCAGCCTGGCCTAGATGAAAGACCTTAGGCAAGTCCCCGAACCTGCTTCCGTTCGCGTGAGATGTGAACAATACCCGCTGGGCAGCGTGGGGACCAAGTGGGCAAGTGCGTGTCCGGGGCCGAGCCCGGTGCCCGGCAGGCAGCCAGGGCTAAGTAAATGGCTGCTCTGTGTGACGCGCCGGCGCTGGCCGGGAGCTCGCCTCCCGCGCTCCCCTGCAGGTGGACTGCCTGGTGCTGCAGCTGCACCGCGTTGGGGAGCAGCTGGAGAAGATGAACAGGCCGCGAATGGATGAGCTCTTTGTCCTGATCCGGGACGGCTTCCTGCTCCCAGCCGGCCTCAGCTCCCTAGCCCAGCTGCTGCTGCTGGAGATCATCGAGTTCCGGGCGGCCGGCTGGAAGACGACCCCAGCTGCCCACAAGTATTACTACAGCGAGGTCTCCGACTAGGCCTGCCGAGCAGCTAGGCTTCCGCGCCAGCAGCACCGGCCTTCCTTCCACCCGCCGCCCACCCTGGCAGTGCGGCTTTTGCCTCTCCCCAGCACCTGCTCCCTGCAGACTTTGAACAGCACTGAGGTTTCCTGCTTACCCGGTGGTCCTGCTCTGAGCACCTTCCCTCCCTCAGGGCATGGGGAGGACCCCGCAGACCTGCTTCCCTCCCCACCCCGCAGTCCCCTCAGGCTCTGCCCGGCCCAGGTGGTTAAACAGCTTCTTGGAGCCTCAGTCTCCCAGCTGTAAAATGGGTGCCCAGAGCCATTGGTGGGATGCCGTGGAGTGTCAAGGGGCAGACGGGCAGAGCACAAGTCACACCAGATACTGCTTCTGATACGTTTTGTACGAGCACGACTTTGGGAACAGGTGTTTCCCGCAGTCGGTTTTAATGAGTGGCGGCACTGCATCACGTGCTCCAGCGCAGGGTGAGGATTTTCTAATAAACCTTTCTGATATGAAAATGCTTCCTTTCGTCACCCAAACGTCCACCCTAAGTGGAGGGAAGACAAGGCGGGAGGGGCCCTAAGTTTCCTGGGGGAACTCCAAGTCCATGTATTGGCTCTCTGCAGGAGACAGGGCAGGGAAAGCAAGTCCTGGCCCACAAGGGAAGGACTAAGGCGATGCACATACCGCTCCCTCCTTCCTGGGAGGCCTGCCCGCCCCTAAAATGGAACTGCATCCTCCCACACAGGCGCTTTTCAGGCAGCAGAGAGCCCCGGCTCCTCCCACGGCCTCCCCGCCCCTACCACCAGCGGTAGTGGGCCAGGGCGCGGTTGGCCTCCGCCATCTTGTGCATGTCGTGCTTCCTTCTGATCACAGGGCCCTGGTTGTGAAAAGCCTCCAGCAGCTCCTGCGACAGCTTCTCTGGCATCAGCATCCGCCGGGGCTTCTTCTCCCTGCACTCGGTAATCATCCACTTCATGGCCAGGAAGCGCCGCCGCCGGTCCGACAGTGGCACAGGGACCTGGCCGAGACAGGACACGGGCAGGCTGGTCCCGGCACTGCCAGGGCTGCAGCCGCCTCCTGCACAGGGTCCCTCTGCGTCGGCCCTGGCAAGGCCCCTGGGGAGAGGGGCCTGCCCTCTCCTCTTTGAGCTTCCCTCGCCCTCGGGTGACGTCAGTGTAACCGACGTCAGAGGCCTTTGCCGAGCAAAGGCTCATTAAACCCTGACCTCTTTTGCCTGCAAGTGAAAGCTCAGCCAAGTTGGTAAAAGCACCAACGGGGAAAAGCCCCCTCAGCTGCGGCGACTTAGCCACTCAGATGAGGGGTGCCTAAAGAGCAGAGCGTCTTGTCTGAGAATCACCTTCCAAGCCCCCACTACCATGCCAGACCCCAGGGACACAGGCTTGAATGAATAAGTCTCTACTTCTGTGAAGTCGACACTGAAAACGGAGAAGAGCGAATACCCACTTATGACCATGAAGTCTAATGAAATACTATAATGGAGGCGCCTGGTTCAGTTCAACAAACGGTGATGAAACATCAAGTACAAGGCAAATGCCACGCTAGACACTGGTGCGTGAAGATGAGGTCTGAGCACCATGAGAATGTGACAGAACGCGACGCTGAGGGGAGGGAGTCACTTGGACACTGTTTTCTTCTCTTCCGTGCTCTGCCTGCCGTTTTTAACACTGTGGGACTCAGATGGCCAGATCCTGACCGTCTCTGGTCCCTAGAAAGCTATCCATCTTGGCCTCCTCTGGGCCCTCCCATCCATAAGAACCCCTCCCCCCACCTCGTTACTCCCATGGACAGCCCCACCTTCCCTGGGCTGACCACTCACCTGGTAGAAGTGACCGCCCTTGAGGATGGGTACCAGCCCAATCACAGGCTCACAGTTTTTCAGGGCTTGGTGGAAGATGGTGTAGGGGTTGCGTTCAATGGCTGCCCGCTCCTCTGGGGAAGCAGCATGGTACTTCTCAAACTGCTTCCTTTTCACAGCCTCCAGAGTCTGCAAAGGGATCCAGTGGGCAAGGACGCCCCAGGCTTCCTGCAGGGTTCACCCAGCGGAGCCAGTACCTTGCCCTTCACTCCCATTATCAGGCTCTTCTATAGCGCTGCAGCCCCTCCACAGCACTTTTTAAAGATCCTCTCCCAAGGATATGTTTACTTGTTTCAGAGAGGGAGGGAGCGGGAGAAACACTGGGGATCCAACCCGCAACACAAGTATGTGCTCTGATGGAGAACGGGACCCAACCCAGAACCTTTCCGTGTATGGGATGACGCTCCAACCATCAAAGCCACCTGGCCAGGGCTCCCCAGCAGTTCTAGGACAAAGTTCTTAAGTGTCTCCCTCTTTCCTACACTAGGACAGGAAGAGCCAGCTGAGATTGGGGGGCAGGGGCAGGGGGGACGGTAGCTGTTAACGCCTGCAGGACTTCAGGAAAGTCCGCCCAACACACACACACAGGGGAGTTCATTTTAATGACAGGTATCTGAATCTATCTTCTCATTCTACACTGAAGGAGCCGAGTACAAAACTACAGGGAAGAGGAAGGTGAAAGGCGAGAAGTACCGTTTACCTTGGTCATGAGGGATCTGGCCAGAACTTTGTTTCCACCTTTCATCATCATGTTGGTGAATTTACTTCAAGGAGAAAAGCAACATGTTTTAGCTTCCCTAGGCTGCAGACACGCCCCAGGCCATCCCAGTTGGGACAAAAGTGTTTCCACCGAACCTGATCAATGGGTCTTCAAACACAGAGCCTGTTTTCGTCGCTGGGGCAGCTTTGATAAGCTGTGTCTTCCTGAGCTCCAGCTCAAACTTCTGTTCCTCAGTCTGCTCTGCCAAGGGCTTGCGGTAATATTCCTTGTCAATCTGGGGATCCCTGTACTCAGGGCCATAGCGGCTCCACCTCACCTGGCTGAGGCTGGGAGAGGGGGAAGAGGAAAAGGCGGGCAAAAGCTGACTCCACAAGCGAAAAGGCTTGACTTAATAATAGGAGTGTCTGCCAAACCACCGACTAGTGAGCGGTGCGCAGACCGCTAGCCAATCGCGAACCGCGATAGTTCTGGCTCTTGCCCAAAAAGATAGGAGGACCTACCCCAAACAGGCTGGTAAAGTCTCATCTCCAGTGCCAACGCTAAGGACAGGCTCTTGAACCTCAGGGTGGACGTCTGCCCGCCCATGCACGTCTCCCCGCAATTCCCAACACAGAAAATCCCAACTCTGAGATTTAGCAAGGCTGCACTTCAGCTCCGAATTAGAATCCCCTCAGGCAAGGAGCTGTCACCAAGCCTCAGACTGCCTCAAAGTCACGCAGCTACTTAAGAGCCTCGGGCCCAGATATCCCTGGGAGAGAGCTCCCAGGCTCTCTCCAGGTCCCCGCGCGGCCTGCGTCCGGCGACTTTCCTTCCTGCAGGTCTCTCCCTGAAGATTAAAGCGACCTCCAAGCTGACCGCCGACCTCTCACCCTGGAAGTCGCAGAACAGCACTGCGTACACCCAGCGCTAGGTCCGACCACCCTCTCACTGTCTTCATCACGGGGGCAGCCATCTTGGTTTGCCGTGAGGACCTCACACGAGCTGCCCTCGGCGTGCCTGAGCGAGTGACGGAAGAAAGAGAAAAGGCTCCACAGGGTCTTAAATCTGCGCATCACCCCATTAATCCGGGCATTAAGAGTCTCTCATCCCGAGGTCCAAAGGGAAGAGTCAAAAGGAAACACTCGCCCTCCCATTATCCGTCGCAGTCTGGCGCGACCGTCGGTGGCGGCGCCTCTCAAGTCCCCATGCTGGCCCCGCCCCGGCTCAGATCCTGCAGGTTATCGCGAGGTTTGAGGCCGCGAGCCCGGCCCGGGCGGCTGCAATATGGCGGAGGCGGAAGGAGAGAGCCTGGAGTCCTGGCTGAGTGAGTATCCGCGTCCGCTCTTGCATGCCCTCGCGGCACCACCGAGTCTCTCCTCCGCGCACCCCTACACCCCCTCCCCGGACTCCGCGGCGCCGCCGCCTGGCAGTCTGAGCCTGGGCCCGGCGCGCCGCGAGCGTTCCGCGTTCACGCCCCTTCCCCAGCAAGGCGCCTGGTCCCCGCCCGGCACCTGCTCCGGGTGCTGCGGCGCCACTTCCCGCTCCCACGCGCGTCGGCGTGGGCTCGGGTCCCGTCCGGCCTCGCGGGCTGCGGGAAAGTGACAGCCAAGTGCTTCCGCCTGACAAGCTCTGCCGCTTAGGGGAAATTGTGGCGGGTCTGCGGGTGGCTCAGTCCCTGACGAAGGGAAAAGCTCTCGATTTGGGCTGAACGTCGGGAGCGGTGGGTGCTGCAGAGCACACGCACAGAGCTTCGGAGCTGTGGCTCTATGTCAAAGGAGAAGTGACCGCTTCGCGCAGGCAGAATGTTTGAAGTGAGAATAATCCACGCACACACAGAGAACAGAGCTGTATGCCCCCGCGCGCGCATACACCCGTGGACATCTTGAGTCATTTGTTGGTAACCTACCCTGAGCAAAGCTGAGGAACCCAGCCCATGCCGTAGTTATAGCGGCCTATTGTTACAATTGCTAACTTACGTTGCTACTAAGGAAATATGGGTTAACCTCGTTAGCTGGTAGTACTTTGCTGAAGGGTGAATAAGTTACTTTCTTATGGGCTACAGGCTTCCGAACCCAGAGGCTTCGAGGTAGAAACTGAACATGGTGATAACGCAAGTAGGGATGCGTAGTTACTACCTTTTGCAAGAGATCTCTCATTCACTAGCGCCTCCAGGTTCTTGCAGGTGATGGCTGCTTCCTCCAGTTGCCTGACCTTTCTTGATAAGAACTCCTTTCAGGTGGTTGAACCTAGGTACATTTGCAAAAATCTTCCATTACAGGCAGGTCACGAGGCATTCTGTATATATGGAACTGTTCTCCAGGGAGCGCAGAGTGTTCTGAAGACATTCATTTAATTCATTTATTAAAGTATCCTAATGAAGCAGATAATATCGTTACAGTTTCACAAAAAGGGGAAATTGTGGCAGTCTAATGAAACCAGAGCCACCCAACCAGATGTAACCAGCTGGAATTGGTTTGATTCACAGAGATCCGTGGGGACACTGGAGTAGTTTCGGTGGCCTAAGCTGAGTTTAGTAGGTTCCGAGTTATGTTTTGAACTAGGAGAGGGTCGGACCTGTTTCTGTGGGGGAGTGGAGGTGGTGAGAAGGGATGGGGCGGTATCTTTAGCGGCTGGGTGTCCCCATCTTACCGTTGTGCAACGCGACTTTTCGATGTTAGGGTGGTGTGAAAGCGATAAGCATTCAGCAGGAACCGTACTTTGAAGTTTGGGTTTCGGTCTTTTCTCCAGCTGTGCGGTAGGGCGTTCTCCCGTGGTGCTGGGCAGCGCCAGTGAGCGCAGCTCCCAGCCAGCCACGTGATCAGCCACGCAAACCGCCGATACTCCACGCTGAACTGTGTTGCCAGTGGTTTTTGGGTGTTGTGTTCTAGGCTAAGCAGTGATGTTCGGTAGGTTAGGTGTAGTGAATGCATCCTCCACTTACAGCGTTCTCGGTGTATGAAGGGTTTTCTGGGTGTAACCCCGTCGTAAGCCTTGTGACTTCATGATGTGAACTGGACCAAGTGAACCAACCAGTGCTTGCGCTTCAGCCGCATCTCATTCTAGGGCCTGGGCGCTCTGTGGTTTGCCAGACTTACCGCAGCAGCCCCTGCCGGGCCCAGTGCCTCGGGCCTGCCGCCTCTGCGCTCCGCTCCCGGGAGAGTGCCTCTGTGGAACCCGACCGTCCCTGCCGCCTCTGCGCTCCGCTCCCGGGAGAGTGCCTCTGTGGAACCCGACCGTCCCGCCGCGGCTGCACACCTCCCGCCTGCGCTCCCCTCGGCCAGCCGGGTGCTCTTGTCCCCCACTTGGCCTCTTCCCCGCAAGCCCTGTTCTCCTCTGCTCACGGAGAGCTTGGAGGCCCATCCCAGGCCCTCCACCCCCACGAACCATCTCTTGGTAATGGCGGCCTTCTCCAAAGCCCTCTCGGTGCCACAGCCGGGCAGTGTGGAAGGAGTGCCGCCTGCTGCGGGGGGCACTGTGAGAACGAGTGCAAGCCGTCTTTGCCTTCGGTTTCATGAAGGTGATGCTGCAGTGGTTAAAGCATTCTTTTTTTTTTTTTTTTAAGTTTTTTTAAAGATTTTATTTATTTATTTTTTAGAGAGGGAAGGAGGGAGAAAGAGAGAGAGAGAGAGAGAGAGAAACAACAATGTGTGGTTGCTGGGGGTCATGGCCTGCAACACAGGCATGTGCCCTGACTGGGAATCGAACCTGCGACACTTTGGTTCACAGCCCGCGCTCAATCCACTGAGCTACGCCAGCCAGGGCCAAAGCATTCTTAAATAAAGAGATAAAGGCACAGTGGCAAGAGCCAGAAATGCTAAAAATGCAGATAGTTTCTTTATCACGAAAATTCGGGATAGGTGGAATGGAAGATGCTTTCTCGCAATGGGCAGGTGGCATTCGAGCTAAACCTCGAGGAACAGGAACAGTGGGCCAAGGGGACAGACTACGATGTGGAGGCAGCCAGCCGTGTTTGGGACTCACGGCGGGGGTGCTCGGCTGGTCCGAGCCCGGAGTTCCTGGAGGAGAGCGGTGGGAGAGGAAGCGGGAGGTTAGAACCACACTCTGCAAGGGCTCGAATTCCAGGCCAAGCAGCCGGCGTTCTGCAGTTCTCAGACCCCAGTCCTACGGGACCTTGTGTCGGTGTTTGAGGGGAGGCGCTGCATGAGGGGGTTCCATGCAGGGTGGGCCGGAGCAGAAGCTCTGGAAGCGGTGGTGAGGGAGGCGGTGGGGGCAGAGACAAAAAATGAGGGAGAGACTTGAAAGGGCGTGAAGGTGGAAGGGACTGCGGACGGACCGGACCGAGAAGGGGAGGAGGCGCGGGAGGAGGGGCTTCAAACCCGGGTGCCTGTGGGTCGGGGCCAAGGGAGCTTTTTTATAGAAATGGGGAAGTCAGGGAGGGGAGTCGATGGTTTGTTTTTAGACGCGTTTCTGTACCAGAGAGGCACTGACCATTACATCCTGTCGTGGTTGTTGCCCTGGTTATGTCTCATGTTGCATCGGGAGAGAGGACCTCCTTGGATGTTGTGTTCCAGGTTAAGCGGTGATGTTCGGTAGGTGAGGTGTATTGAATGCATCCTCAACTTCAGATATTTCAACTTAGAAGGATTTACCTGGATGTAACTCGGTCGTAAGTCTTGTGACTGAACGGTGTGAACTGGACCAAGTGAACCAGCCGGTGCGTGCGCTTCGGCAGCATCTCATTCTGGGTCTCATCACTCCGAGGCTTGCCGGAGTTCCTGCAGCAGCCCCTGCTGGGCCCAGGGCAGGGTCTGAGCCGTGTGCGTTTTCTGAAGTCCCTCCAGGGCCTGGCATGCCGCACGCTTAATTTTCAAAGGGTGCCTAACAAACACTCCGTGATTGACTCACTCTCTCTTGATGCAAGGCTCTAGCAATGAAGGTCAATTCTTGACTCTTTTTCCATCTCTTCTTCTTGCTTCTGCTTATTTCTGAGTCGTTGCTACATGGAACGGGCCGTCTCTGGGATGTCTGGGAGGTAACGGGATGGGACAGCCAGTGCTGCTGTTTCCGTCCCCACGTGACCTTTCGCGGTCCCGCGGCAGTCAGGGCTAGCGGTGGAGCTGCAAGGGGGAGCAGGGAATCTAGAGGTGCAGGCACAGAAGAGAGGAGGGCTTTAGGTAGGGACCTGAAAACAGAAACCTTGAATCGGAATAGATCCCAGAGGCGTGGTTCCAGAAGGCAGGGTCCCTGACGTAAGCCCCGAGGTCTCCTCCGTGCCAGGCGATGGAGAACGTTGAGTGGGTGGCTGCATCTGCTGAGCGAGGCAGCGGGCAGATGGAGAGATCCGGCCGCCCAGGAGGATCCCCAGAGGTTTCTCCCAGTTCCTGTGGGCGACTGAGGTCCGCTTCCGGAGCCAGCTGGAGAGCGGGGGTGGCGGGGGTGCTCGGGAGTGGGGCTGAGGCTGGGGCTTTTTGTGCCCACATGCAGGCGCGGCGCTCCCTGCAGGTTCGCAGCAGGAAGTGCTACCAGGGTAGAACTGGTAGATAAATAAAGTCAGATTCTGGAGAAGTTGAACACAGTGAAAAGTAAGCAGGGGTATTCTTGGAAGCAGAAACGCCGTTGGAGTTCTAGCAGGTGTGAGAAGAACACACGTTTGGTGAGTGCCTGTTGCGTGTGCATGCATGTGTGCGTGTATGTGCGCACGTGCGCAGGGAGGCCGGGGAGTCCACATCAGACTGTGTTTGGAAGATGCTTCTCCAGTTGCTGACAGTGCAAGTGAGGGGACTGCTTTCTCTTACACCACGAGGTGTGTGGCTGTTCCCGGAGTGGTGGTGATGGGGCAGTCTCCCTACAGTCTCTTGATGTGACGTGAGAACTGTAAACATCTCAGATGATAGGCTGAGCAACGAAGCCACGCTAACACCTGAGAAGGTTTCAGGTAACTGGCGGAAGAAACTCGGGCTTCCCTGGAAGGTGACAGCTAGGAGGGCACGTGGCAATTAGTGGTCACAATCAATAGGATTAATCTCTCCTTCCTCCAGGCCTGACATTCCGGAGGGCCTGCTAATTCTCTGTTTGCAGTTGAGGACAGGCATGTCTCTCTCCCTCCACGCATGAGCGTGAACCGTGTGAGTCGTCTCGCAGCCAGAGCAGAGGCACCGCCAGGCAGGCGCACGCAGCCGGAGCCGCAGCCCCGTCTCTGCTCTGCCTCCTCTCGGCGTCTGACCCCTGGTGGCTCAGGGCCCTGTGCGTGGGGCACGGAGTCCCTGTTAGGACCTGACTGTGGAGCCAGGGATTTTTAACATCAGGAAGAACGGAAGTTAGGAAAATGGTCCAGAGAAGTCAGAACTCAGGAACTTCTAACAGGGCCCTTGTCGGGAAGGGCCTCCTCCTCGTCAGGCTGCCGTCACCCGGCTGCGGACGCCGTGCGGGTGCGGGAAGCGGCCTGTGTCCTCAGCCCCCCCGTTCGTCCTCCCGGCCTGGGCCCTAGCTGCGGCAGACAGCTGCTTTCTGGACGCTGCTCTCTGGGGTAGGCGAGTGCCAAGGTCTGAATCAGAGACGGGAATGGTTGCTTTTGTTTTTTTAAAATAAAATGTCCCCAGTAGGCGGAATGCTAGTACCGTGGCAGAGAGAAAACCCAGTGGGAAAATGCATTGTGGTCATGTCCGTGACAAACGAGAAAACTGCGTCCTAAAAGCCTTGGTAATGACCACGAGACGGGAACATGGTTACCCAGCCTCGGCCAGGGCTGCTGTCTGCGAGCACAGCTTCTGGGGGTGAGAGGGGAAAGGGGACCCTCACCAAGTATTCGAGGCTCTGCGTTAGCACTGGATTTGAAACCCCAGTGACCCTCTGAGGGCTCCCCAGCGTCTGTCTCTGTCCTTGACCCAAGAGCATTTCACCTTGAGGGCACTGTGTGCTCAAGCTCGGATCGCGCCTCCGTGACCCCAGGGGTGGAGAGCACGCTGACCGGTGCTTCGCAGGGGTCAGTAAACGTTGTTAGCTTAACCACAGATGGTGAGGATGACCCGCAATTTAAAAGAATTTTTAGATCTTGAAAAGTATTGAAGGATATGAGGGAAGTATATGTTCTTCTTTTTTTTTAAAGATTTTTATTTATTTTTAGAGAGGGGGGAGGGGAAGAGAAAGGGAGAGAAACATCAATGTGTGGTTGCCTCTCACATGCCCCCCACTGGGGACCCGGCCTGCATCCTAGGCATGTGCCCTGACCGGGAATTGAACCAGCGACCCTTTGGTTCACAGGCCAGCACTCAGTCCTCTGAGCCACACCAGCCAGGGCCTGTAGGAAGTATATTTTCTAAGTATGTGTATTTTTTGTCAAGTATCCCGTTTTTCACATTCTCCAGGAAACACTTCCTTCTGTAGTTTCTAATTTGTTATTTTTAAAAAATCTTTTTCAATTACAGTTTATAATCGTTACTATTCTGTGTTAGTTTCGAGGGTACAGCACAGTGAGTAAATAGTCAAACTCTTTGTGAAGTGTTCCCCCCAATATTTCCAGAACCCACCCGGCTGCATACCGACTTATTATACTGCTATTGTTTTTAATTATTAATTGATAAATTCATTACAGGCATGTGATCACTTTTTTATCCTTATTGAATTTACTGTGGTGACATAAAAGTTACACAGATTTCAGGTGTGTGGCACTATTATTGACTGTATTTCCTACACTGTACTAGGAAGTACTTCTTTATTTAAAGTAATTTTTTATCTTTTAAAGATTTTTTTAAATCTTTAGAGAGATGGGAAGAGAGGATGAGAAACATCAACATGTGGTTGCCTCTCACACGCCCCCTGCTGGGGACCTGGCACAAAACCCAGGCATGCGCCCTGACTGGGAATTGAACCGGCGACTCTTTGGTTCTCAGGCCAGCACTCAATCCACTGAGCCACACCAGCCAGGGCTAGGAGGCACTTCTTGATCACCCCGACTTGCTTAACACCCAGCTTGGTTTTCCATAGCTGGAAGTATCCATGTTTATGTGTCACAGTAAACATTCTACACAGGATCTACTCGAGTGTTTCAGTCATTTGTGTCTGCATTTGTCCTGTCGATCGTGACCTGCCCTGAGCCCCGTGCGGCTGAGGACCGTTTTCTCCTCACTGGGGGCCTGCACTTTGCGGGCAGAGCGCGGCGTTCGTACGTGACTTGCTGCCTGGCTGAACCGTTGAGGCCTCCGGTGGAGGAGAAATTCGGAAACGGGCGTCTTCACGTCGGTGCATAGAAGTTAAGAGGAGAACCTCTGTTTGCCCTCCTTGCTCTTCGTTACAGTCGTCCCCTTCTCTGTTCTGTCCCAAGATAAAGCCACCAACCCCTGCAACCGCCAGGAGGACTGGGAGTACATCATCGGCTTCTGCGACCAGATCAACAGGGAGCTCGAGGGGTGAGTCTGGAGGCCTTGAGGGGCGGGTGAGGGCGTTGCTGGGAAAGGGAGAAACGAGGCCAAGGAGGCCTGGCCCTGCGGCCCCGGGGCAGTGTCTTCAGGGTGCGGTCTGCTTGTCCCCCAGGCCGCAGATAGCCGTCCGCCTGCTGGCCCATAAGATCCAGTCTCCGCAGGAATGGGAGGCGGTCCAGGCCCTGACGGTAGGTTCCCCTGGGTAGCCTGTTTCCAAGTGTGTGCGCCCTCGTGCCAGCGGTCTAGTGGGAGAGGCAGAGGCTGAGGGAGGGGCCAGAGGCCAGCGGAGGGCGGGGCTCAGACACAGCTGTCCAGCCCGTCACGAGTTGGCTGACTGAAGCAGATTGGAGGTGAGTGAAACTCACTCTGTAGCTAAAAGCAACGCCAGTTACCAGTGAAGGTGTCGCACCAGTGGCGGCTCTCGGTGTTCGAGACCGCGAGGGTTCGGGACGTGGGGCTGCGTGCAGAGAGCGTGTACAGGGGTTCCCCCTGTCGAGAGGCGCAGGGCAGGGCGTGGTCTCGGGAAGGCGGCTCAGCCCGTGTGCACGCCTCTGTTCCGATCCCCGAGGGACATTGGTGGTATGGGGAGACACTGTTGGTTTTCTCCTGTCGGGGTGCCCCTGGCGTCTCCTCGTGGGTGAGAGGCCAGAGGTGCTGCCACACACCCTGCGGCGCACGGGGCAGGCTTCCGTGGGGAGTGGCCGGCCCCAGCCGTCCGTAGTGGCACAGTCCAGAAACCCCGCTCCACAGACACGAGCCCAGGAAGGGGGCTCTGGCGCGGCGTGTCCCTGGCCCGGGCTGCAGGCACAGGGCAGCCTCAGGACGCCCTGCGGCCCCAGAGGGAGGGCAGGTGGGAGTGGGGCGGGGGGAGTGCGTTGTGCCCACTGAAGCTGGGGGAGCAGTTCAGCCGGGAAGTCCCGCCTCCCAGAGTGTCGGGCAGCTGCGGACAGGAGCCTGGGCCTCGCTCTCCTCAGCTCGAGGACGCAGCGCGGCACCTGGCAGGGAGGCGCCTTCTGGGACTGACGTTCCACCTTCTTGGCCGGGGGGTGGGGGGACGGGGACGGTTCTCTGGTTCCCGCTGAGCTTCCCCAGAAGAGCTCTGTAATTTGAGGGACATGAGATGTCCCCTGGGGTCGTGTTCTCAGCTCTTCCCGATGAGTCCTTCCTTGGGTGAACGTTTATCTGGCACCTGGGGGTGGGGGGCGGTGCCACCCGGACCGCACCCCCACCGAGCGCCCCCCGCCCTCCCCCGCGCCGCAGGTGCTGGAGGCGTGCATGAAGAACTGCGGCCGGAGGTTTCACAACGAGGTGGGGAAGTTCCGGTTTCTGAACGAGTTGATCAAAGTGGTCTCTCCGAAGGTGAGTCGGGGCAGTTTGCTCACTAGTAGGAACCTAGTGCTTCTCCCCTCCCGCCGTGCTGGCCGTCACTGCCCAGCGGGCATCCCCGTGGACACGACGCTCTCTGTGTCGTGTCCTAGGACAGGCGGCCCCGAGGACAGCAGGGCGACCACGCGGGCCGCGGGGACAGGCAGGCCGCGCCAACGGGCGTCTCGCCTGCATGCGAGCAGTGACGAGGCACAGCCGTGTGCGTGTCTGGGGAGGGTCCGCACGGCAGCCGCTTCCGTCTGGCCGACCGCACGTGGGTGCGAGGGGCTGGCCTGCCTGTTCCTCGGCTGCACGGGCTCTGCTGCACACGAGGGTTGCCTAAGCTCCGGGCCCCGACTTACACGGCAGAGGGAACAGTTTTACGCTGAAGACCGGAAGTGCTTTGCGGTCAAGCGCAGCTGCCTTTCTGGCAGACGGGGCGTGCAAACGCAGGGCCGGCTCCCGCGAGCTGCCTGACCGCAGACTCTGTCCCGGACGGGTGCAGCCCCGCCGCTGGGAGAGTCCTGCCCGCCCCCGTGCCGTCCCGCACGCCTGGTCCCTGCCGGTTCCCACTGGCCTGAGGGCTCCGTCTCCTTAGCAGCCGCTTCACGGCTGTGGAGGAGCCTGCCCACAGCCCTGCCCCAGACTGCGGTCACTTGTTTCCCGTCTCCTTTTGCCTGTTAGTACCTGGGGGACAGAGTGTCTGAGAAAGTGAAGACCAAGGTGATCGAGCTGCTGTACAGCTGGACGTTGGCCCTGCCCGAAGAGTCGAAGATCAGGGACGCCTACCACATGCTGAAGAGACAGGGTGTGTGCCTGTGCCCACCCCCGCCCAGCCCCGGGGGGTGGCCAAGGCAGGAAGGAGGGGGGTGTCTGTTGGCCCCAGGCTACGTCTCTTCTCCCCCCTAGAGACAGTGGGACGGGCTCGGCTGGGGTTCGACGGGAGAGGCGTGGGTGCCTGCCCTGCCCCTGCAGGTCCCGACCGCAGGGGGGTGCGCCCTGGCTGTGTGAGGGGGGCGGCACGTCACCCTCGGCCTGAGCAGACGCCCTGCCCCGTGTCACCTTGCAGGCATCGTGCAGTCCGACCCTCCGATCCCCGTGGACAGGACACTGATCCCCTCTCCACCACCTCGTCCCAAAAACCCCGTTTTCGACGACGAGGAGAAATCCAAGGTAAAGCGGGACCGGGCTGTGCAGCCCTCGGCGAGACGTGGCCCCACTAATACTGCGGGGACCTCGTTCCTCTGGGGTCTCCCCGGGCGGGCGCTGCCCGCCACCGTCACCCTTGACTCCCTCTCCTCTCCTGCAGCTTTTAGCCAAGTTGTTGAAAAGCAAGAACCCAGATGACCTCCAGGAGGCCAACAAGCTCATTAAGTCCATGGTGAAGGAAGTAAGTGGGCCCCGGGCGTCGGGGCGTGGGCGGGGGGCCCATAGGCAGAATCCCCGCCCTCGGCGTCCCCTGCGGAGGCCGGGTACTGGAGCAGAGGGGCGAGAGTGGGTGGGCCCAGTCCGGGGCCTGGGGGAGGACCGTTATTTTAAAAGAAAAATGGCCCTGGGCCGCGTGGCTCAGTTGGGTGGCACATCGCCCTGTACACCAGAAGGCTGGGGGTTCGATCCCTGGTCGCAGTGGGTCTGGGAGGCAACCGGTCCAGGTTTCTCTCTCACGTTGATGTCTCTCTCTCTCTCTCTCCATCTCTCTAAAATCAGTAAACACATCCCTCGGTGAGGATTAAAAAAACATATTAAAAAGGAAAAAACCAAACAGGGTCCGAGGCCCGTGGGTCCCCAGGCCCGTGCACTGAGAGGAGCGTCCCGGGGGGCTGGCCGCGGCTCCCGTGGCCTCCGGTGCCACCCGCGCCCTGGGGGCTGCGGGGGACAGTGTGGCCGAGTCCCTTCTCTCGCAGGACGAGGCCCGGACCCAGAAGGTGACAGAGCGTCTGCACACCCTGGAGGAGGCTAACAACAACGTGAAGCTGCTCGGCGAGATGCTGCTGCACTACAGCAGGGAGGACTCTTCAGAGGCAGACAGAGAGCTCATGAAGGTCGCGCCCCCTTGGGGACACTGCTGCGCGTCCGGTGGCCCCTGACTCAGGGGTCGGCAGGGCGGCCGGGTAGAGGGGCTGGTGCCCCCGCCTGAGGGGAGCGGAGACGGGCCCACCCTGGGCGGAAGGGCTGCGCGTGCACCCCGTCTGCGGGGCTCTGCGCCCCGGGCTGCCCTCGGCCTGGCCCCCGGCAGAGGGGCCCCCGCGCGGACCCCTGGACCTGGGTGGTGACCTGGCCGAGTCAGGGGACCTCGGGGAGCCCCGGCTCAATCTGGGCCTCTTCTTGCAGGAGCTGTTCGATCGGTGCGAGAGCAGGAGGCGGACGCTGTTCAAGCTGGCCAGCGAGACAGAGGACTATGACAGCAGTCTGGGTGAGCGCAAAGGGAGGGCTGGTTGTCAGGGACGACCCGGGAATCGGGTGTGTCTGTGGCGGGGCAGTTCTCACGGCCAGGAGTGAGACGTCTCTCCTCTGCTCCAGGGGACATCCTGCAAGCCAGTGACAACCTCTCCCGGGTCATCAACTCGTACAAAACAATCATTGAGGGGCAGGTCATCAACGGGGAGCTGTCCGCCCCCACCCTGCCCGACTCTGAAGGTGCAGTGTTTGAGCCCCTCGCGCGGGACCCTCCAGGCAGCCCCCGTGCCCATGGAGGGGGCGCCCTGCCATACAGCCTCTAGCGTGGTCCCTAATGGTTCCTGCCCCTCCCCCTCTCATCCAGGAAACTGCCACTCCGGCAGCCAAGGCGCACTCATCGACCTGGCAGGGCTGGACGCACCCAGCAGCCCACCCCCAGCGCTGGCGCCGGCCCCCCCAGCACCTTCCTCGGGCATCCCTATTCTCCCCCCACCCCCCCAGACCTCAGGGCCTGGGGGCAGCCGCTCCTCCAGCCAGGCGGAAGCCCCCCCGGGGCCCAGCAGCACAAGCAACGCCCTGTGCTTGCTGGATGAGGAGCTGCTCTGCTTGGGTGCGTCCCGGAAGGAGACTGGGAAGGGCTTCCTCTGGCAGAGCGGGTAGAGAAGAAGGGGGCATGGAACCGGGAGGTGCGCGGGGCGCCCCGTGTGCTCAGCAAGACAGGGGAGGAGGCTGTGGTTGGGAGAGGGTCACGTCCAGTGTCCCTCAGGCTACCAGGGCAGTCTGCAGTGGACTCTGGGGTGGAAATGGTAGATCTAGTGTCTTGCTCTGCCTGCATCCCGCTGGAACCATCCCCCGGCCCATCTCTCTGGCTCCTGCACCCCTTCCTCAGGCGGGGGGCCAGCGGGGCTGCCCAGGCCCAGCGCCTCCTCTCACCACAGCCGTCTCCGTTCTCAGGCCTCACGGACCCACCCCCCACAGCCGCTCCCAAGGAGTCCGCGGGAAACGGCCAGTGGCCCCTGTTCCAGGTGGGTGCACTGGTGACACCACCGGGACACGTGACAGCCATCCTCACCGGTGCTGCCCCGTTCTCGAGTGGCCCTCAGCTGCAGTGAGCCGCAGCCCTGCTGTCCTAGGTCCCTGGGGCCCGTCCTCGGGGGCATCTCCGCCAGCAGGTTGCCAAGGGGCCAGGGTGGAGAGCTGGGACCCCCTATGCCCCTGCTCATGGGCACTCTCCGCTCTTTCCCGGTAGAACGAACAGTCGGACCTGGACTTTTTCGGCCCCCAATCCGGGACGGCTGCCCGTAGCCCCCGCGACGGGCCTGTCCTCCAGCCCTCAGCCACCCCTGCCGGCAGCGCCCAGGCTCCGCTGCCGCCCCCCTTCCCGGCCCCTGCGGTCCCGGCCAGTGTTGCCACCCAAAAAGCAGGCTTCTTGTTTCCCACCGGACCGCCCCCAGCTTCGGCCCCAAAGCCTGAGCCCACAGCTCCTGGGTACCACGGCTCAGCTGTGGGCGACGGCACCCTGAACAAGCTGGACGCCCTCGATCAGCTGCTAGAAGAAGCCAAAGTGTAATAAGTGGGGGAAGGCTGGTGGAGGAGGGTTGGACCTGGCTTGGAGAAACCAAAGGGTTTGGGGCGTTCTCTCAGTCGGACCTGAGACGGGGATCTGGAAGCTGGGGAGGGGGCGGCCGGCAGCCGTGCCTGGTCTCTGACTTGCCCTTCCTGCCTCCTAGGACCTCAGGCCTGGTGAAACCCGTCACCTCCAGCTTCTTTCCTGTGGCCACCACCTCCCCTCTGGTCCCTCCCGGCGCCTCGGCCAGGCCTTTCCTGCCGTTCTGCACGGGGCCCGGCAGCCCCCTCTTCCAGCCACCCGCCTGCCCATCCCCGGGCAGCCCCGTGAAGGGGCCCGATCTCTCCCTGGCCAGCGTCCACGTGCCCCTGGAATCCATCAAGCCTAGTAGGTGCTGGAGGCGTGGGGGGGGCGGGGGGTGGAGCCCACGATGTGCAGCGGTGTGGGGAGTGAGTGGGCCGGGTCGGGACGCACTCAGAGTCAGGGGACCGCTTCCTCCTCGGCCGGTGCCTGCTGCCGCCGGGCACCCAGTGCCGGGCTGGCAGGGGTTCCTCCCCGGGCTCCTGCGGGGGGAGCCGCTCTCCCCACTTGGCCGCTGCGGGCGCCCCCAGGGCTGCTGGGGGTTGTCGCCCTTCTCTCGCCTTCCACACCCCCGTGCCGCCTCCGCCTTCTTACAGGCAGCGCCCTTCCCGTGACGGCCTACGATAAAAACGGCTTCCGCATCCTCTTCCACTTCGCCAAGGAGTGCCCGCCGGGGCGGCCCGACGTGCTGGTGGTGGTGGTGTCCATGCTGAACACAGCGCCCTTGCCCATCAAGGGCATCATGCTGCAGGCCGCCGTGCCCAAGGTACTCCCTGGGGCCTCTGGACGCGGGCGTTCCCTGTCTCTGCAACGCAGTGTTGAGGGTGTTCGTGGCCAGCAGGTGGCAGTGTGTCCCCTGACCACGCTGGGTTCCCTCTGTAGTCAATGAAAGTGAAGTTGCAGCCACCGTCTGGGACAGAACTGTCTCCGTTTAGCCCCGTCCAGCCGCCTGCAGCCATCACCCAGGTCATGCTGCTCGCTAACCCACTGAAGGTGAGCTGGGGGCCCCAGAGTGGGAATCGGGGACCGCCTCTCCCACCCCCGAGTGTCGTGGGGCTGCAGCACCAACCCTGTCCCTTCCCCACCCTGGTTCGGTGGCTGAGCAAGGGTGGGGAGGTGGGGGCAGGGTCTGCCGCACAGGCCCGGCGGGTGACGGGGTCTCGTGTGCTGCCCCCGTCGCAGGAGAAGGCGAGGCTGCGGTACCGGCTGACTTTCGCCCTGGGGGAGCAGCTGAGCACGGAGGTGGGTGAGGTGGACCAGTTCCCTCCCGTGGAGCAGTGGGGGAACCTATGACCCCAGAGGACACTGTCGTCTCCGCGTTGAAGCCCAAGCAGGTGGCCCTGAGACTAGAGGGCTGAGTCCAGTTGTTCACGTCCTGACCGCAGTGCTTAGAGCTTCGGTGTGGGGCAGGGCCCTGGGCGTTGTTGCCAGGGCCCGAGCTGCTGCTGTGGTGGTCTCTCCTCCTCTGGCCCCTTAAAAGGACCCGGTTTTATCTACCTGTGTGACTTGAAGTGGCCATGCACTGTGGGGCGGGCTGTGGCCCCAGACCCTGCACCATCCCCTGAGGACGCAGACCCAAGGTTTGAGGAGGTTTCCTCTCGTGCTCACACCCCCCAGTGCCACGGGCAGGTCTCTAAAGAGCCTTGTGGGCCCCCCGTCAAGGACCATGTCCTCACACCCCCACCCCCGCCATGCTGCTTGTGCTTCCCCTGCTGGCAGGCTGCTACTCCTACCTCCAGGAGGGGGTGCGGAGCCCAGGGGCCCCCCGTGGGCCTGGGCGCAGAGCAGGGAGTTGGTGTGCTGCCTGCCGTGGGCAGCGTCAGCCTGGAAGGGCCACTGGATGATAAGTGTGTGCTTGTCCCTGGCGGCGGCAGGTGGCGTCCCGTGGGCGTCTCAGTGGGACGTGGAGCTCAGCCTGTTAGAGACAGAGCCGGGCCTCGCAGCACCCTGGACGAAGGCGCGAAGAGAACCGGCGCCCCCTCCCCGGGGAGCGGGACTCGGAGCTCCCTGGGACAAGTGTGCCCCACCGGGGCAGCAGGCCAGCCTTCTCACTACCTCTTGCTTGGCACGAAATGGACTGCCGTCTCGCCCTTCGAGTCTCTGAAGGGCGGATGACACCTGCCCCTCTGCGTCCTCTTGCTTGGGCCTCTCTCCCCCACCCCCCCGCCCCCGGACAGCCCTCGGCACCGTGAACAGACAGGAACAGGAGGCCCAGGGCCGGGCGGGAGGCGCTGGACTGGCCTGCTGCAGGAGCCGCCCGCTCAGCCGCTCGAGGGTGCTGTCGGCGAGGTGTCAGGTCTGGAGGTGGTGGGGTCGGGGGCTGAGCTTGAGTGGAGTCACCAGGCCCTGCCGCCTCAGCAGTGCTCACCCCAGCCAGCTGGTGCCAGACAGACGCGGGGCTCCCCGGGCCGCAGGCAGCAGGAGCCGCAGGCAGCAGGAGAAAGTGCACACACCTCACCGGGCCCAGCTGGACGGGCCCAGAGCCTCGTTCCCTGGCCCTAACCCTGTCCCTTGCCAGGCTTCCTGCCTCTGTCTGGAGGTCACCTCGCCCTTCCCCCCATCTTGAGCGAGCAGGTTTCACTGCTTCCTCGGACCGGTCGAACGTGAATTGATTTCACTACTTAAGGAATAAACCAAGAGCTTTCCGGAGACCAGCTGCTGCGGCCCCGGGAGAGTCGGTGGGGTCACCACATGGAAACGCTCCTTTATATAAGCTTCAGACATTAAAGTTATTTATGAGTGTCACTGTCGGGGTCGCTGTTTTGTGACAACTATGCTGGATGCACTGACTGCTGCCCTCACTTTGCTGCATGTTAAATAAAATCTTTTCCACCCCACTCGGAATCCTCCTAATCCAGACCCCACCCACCCACGGGTGGGGGCAGCACCTAGGGCTTTGCTGAGCAATGCAGGGTCCTGGATCTTTCTCTTAAAGAAGGTGACGAGAGAGCTAACGGACCAGGGTTCCGGGTGACTGGGAGGTGAGCCCAGGTTCCAGAAGCACAGGCAAACCCCCGAAGGCTCCTGTCTGAGGTTCTGATTACGGGCGGGCGGGCACCACCGTTCACTGGCAGGGGCGCCTCTCCCTCGGAGGAGACAGGGAAGTCAGTTTCCCATCAGAGAACATAAGCAGCATCTTCTTAATCTTTACTACCTCTACCTCGCAGGGGAGGTGGACGAAAACTTCCCGGCTGAAACCCGTAGGAACTTGCCTCACGTTTGCAAAAGAAAACATTTATTCTTTTAAAAACATACATACACCGCCACACAGAGGAGCCGCGCCGGGCTGCCCCCTCAGGAGCCCTCCAGCGAGCCTTCTTTGACGATGGCCCGAGCCAGGTTCCGCGCGAGAGACAGTCTCAGCATCTCCACCTTGGTGGTCTCTATGTCGTCATCCTAAGAGCAGACAGGCGGCGTGAGGGGCCGGAAGGGGTCCCTCTTCAAAGCCCCTAAGAGTGCTATGTCTCCAAAGGCAGACAGGTGCAGGTCTGGCTAAGGAAGCTATTTGGCGATAGCTTCCGGCCAAGTCCGCAGTGTATGAGCTCAATGCGAGGGACGCTGCAACTGGTTAACGGGGAAAAAAGATCAGGACGCTAGAATCACCCCAGTTTTCCTTAGTGTGTGTCCCAGTTACAGGTTCGGAAGCAGCGCAAGAGGCACTGAGGTGGTGAGGAGCCCACGTCTGTGGGAGGAGGTCGGGGAGCCCGAGGTGGAGGGGCCTTCCCTCGCCTCCACGGAGGCCAGCCCGGAACCCGCCGTCACCTGGAGCTGCAGGGGGTCGGGCTCTCCGTGCACGGGTCTTCCCGAGGTCAGGTCCTCCAGGCACCTCAGCAGCTCGTACGTCTGATCCGCTGAGAAGATCACCTACGGGAGGGGGAGGCGGTTTTGCTAAGCTGCCCCCAGCCAAGGCCCACACTGGTCCGCGCCGGGGCCCGGGTTCAGATGGCCTTCCCCGCACGTCCCTGGGGGCGGGGGCGGGGGCGGATGGAGTGTGCTTTGTACACAGCAGCCCTGAGAGGGCAGGCACCTCCGCTCTCTCCCGGCCCTGGACTGGGTATGGTCAGTAAGCAACTGCCTCATTCCAAATCAAACAGTTTTCCTTGTGTGGGAATTAGATTTCCGGAGTGGGCGCTATGGGGAGCCCCACCTAGGAGGTGATGGCTGCCGACACACCTGTACCAGCTACAGAACAGAGCGCTGTCAAGGACTACAAACGCAGAGAAGAAAGCCTTGTGGGTACCTGTTTCTGTTCCAAGAGGGGCAGGGCATCTGTCAGGAGCGTCATCCAGAAAGACCGTGGAGCAATCTGAGAAGTCATCAGTGACAGGAGAAGAGAAGCCGCATCGACAAAACGCTTGTCCCCATATAATCGGTGGAATTCACGGTACTTTCCTATTGAGAACGGAGCACTAGGTCACCCCTGGCCCCGAACAGGGGAAGACAGGCTCCCGACCAGCCGCTCCACAGAGCGGAGAGATTCTCCCAGAGCTGTGTCCCACCCAGGGACCGAGGAGACCCCAGATGCATTCAAAGCACAGGCCTGGCACTGAAGGGACTCCAACCAGCCGAACCTGGGAGGACGCCAGCGTTAAAACAAGAGTCACGGGTTATGACGGACCGACTAGCCCACGAGTCCGTTACCGACGTAAACAGAAGCACAGACGGGGACGCAGGGGAGGCCTCCCACAGGGCGCAATGCCCAGGAAAACACCGGGAGCGGCAGTCAGAGAATCGCAGCGGCTGCCAGAAGTAGCGGCCGGAAGTCTGATCAGGAACAAGACGCTGAGTAATTTCCAAAGGGTCTCTCCACGAGCTACTAAGTCCAAAGGAAAGTCCATGCTGCAGAGGAGACCTCAGGGGGACGCCACTTTCACCAGGTGAGCAAAGTGCACCCCACCAAAAGGGCACCCCGGCACCGAGGGCAGCGCCTCGGGGGCGTTCCTGCCCCAAACACAGAACCTCACTCTGACCTCGAGGAACCGCCAGATCAGCCCACACTGAGGACATTCTACAACGGAGCTGAACTGACTCTTCAAAATGCCAAGGTCAAGGAGCACCGAGAAAGACAGAGGCACTTAAAAAGATACGGCCACAAAATCCGTGAACCCGCACGCAAGACAGGACGTCACTGGGACAACTGTCAGCAGAGTGTGAACTGTGGGTTAGACGGGACTATTGCACCAACGCTGAACCTCAGGACCTTCACGGATGTGCTGATGTGAGAGTATTCCCGGGAGACACACGCTCGGGACTTCACGGAGAAAGGGGCACAGTGTCCCCAGCTTACTTTCAAACTGTTCCCCCAAAACCCAACTGACTGAGAGTGAAAATAAATAAGGCAAAACAAAAGACTCATGAATCTGGGTACAGTTTGTATGACAGCTCCTTGTCCCTTACACAACTTCTGCAACTTTTCTCTAAGTTTGAAATTCCTGGAAAGTAAAATATTACTGAAAAAGACGCTTTGTGGAGCCCGGTGCACAGGGCCCTGGGTGGTTTGGGGTTTGGGCCCAGCGGGAAGGAAGCACCAGGGAAACCCGCAACGGCCCCTCCGCGCTCCACAGCCGTCCTTTCGAGCCAGAAGCTCAGCAGGGCGCGCAGACTCACCCAGGAAGGTCAGCCGATCGCTGAGCATCATGGCCGGTCCCAGGTTGTCGATGAGATCCAAGTCGGAAAAGCAGCCTCGCTCGCAGTAATCCCTGAGGAACCTGCAACGCAGGCCCGCAGGTCAGAGAGCAGTCCCAGGACCGCCTCCCCGGTCTCCTCGCTCCCCGCCAGCCCCCGGGCAGCTGCCCCAGCCGGCCGGCGGAGCCCACCTGTCCGACACCAGCGTGGCGAAGGCAGCATCTTTGGCTCGAATGCTCCACGACAGGGCGGAGCCCAGGCGGTTGTTGCGGACGGCTTTCATGGCTAGGATCTTGCAAATGCTGCGGACTTCGCAGGGGAAAGAGAAGAGGCGGACCTGTCAGCCTGCATGCAAACCACCCCAGTCCTAGGCCCTGCTGGGCTGGCAGCGGGCTTCCCACCTCCCCTCGGCCGCCCCCCCGGGAGCTCGGGGTGTAAACGGCCTCCTCCTGACTGGTAACAGTTCTGACCCCCGACAGGACTGGCCTCGTGAGCTGACTCGGTTTCGGGGTGGCAGTGAGCTCCCTACTGCTCCCCACACGCCGGCTCCTCCATCACCTGCAGCAGGTGCCTCTGGGAGGGGTGGCTCAGGTGTTTCCGCTCGACAGTGAGGAGGGAAGGGCGGGCTTCGTCCACCACCTCCTCCCTGCTCTGCCCACGCCCCCTCCGGTCCCGCGTCCCCAGAGCCAGCCTCAGCTGGCAGCCCACCCGGGAGGGACAGGTAAACTCAAAGCTGACCCCGGCCCTGACCTCTTGGAGTAAATACGGGACAAGTGGGTTGGGCAACTCTTAAAAAAAGGCAACATGCTCCACTGCTTCCAGGTTCCCGAGGGCCCCCAGCTCGCGGCCCCTCCCCAGCGATGTTCCAGGGTGCCCGGCACCCACCGCCCGGCCTCTCCCCAGCCGGGCTCACCTGGCGGGAACCCAGGGGCTGCGCCGGGAGGAGGGCCCGCCCACCTTGCTCGGTCATCTGCCGCTGCTCGCAGATCCGCAGCACCTTGAGGGCTTTCTGCTCGGTGCTCAGGGGGATGCGCTCGATGTGCATCTCCAAGGACACTCGGCCCAGCTCCGGGCAGTGGTCGAAGTAGTCCACCCCCAGCTGCCACAGGCTGCACACGGGCCCGAGGAGGACAGACACCACCAGGCCTGGTGAGTCCGGGAGCTGCGCTGGAGCCCCGGGCTGGCACCCAGGACGGCTCGTCTCCGGACCACTGCGGCATCCAGGGACCCAGACTGGGCCCGGCATGGTCCCAGCCCCACGGCACCCGCACCCTGAAGAGCACCCCGCCGTGCCCCCCGGGGCGGGGGGGGTCCTACCTGTGATGAGCGAACAGCCCCGAGGCGTACTCCAGCAGGAGGAACTCCCTCATGTTGGAGCCGAAGCTGGAACAGAACGTATCCTGAGACCCAGACTCCTGGTCTGTCCCCCTCAGGCCCCTTCTGCAGCCCAACACCCCCTCCAAGAATCCTGCTCCCCCGGCCCGGGCCTGGGGGGCGGGGAGGAAAGTGTGGGCGTGGCCGAGCACACTCACTAGAGGTTGTGCGACTGCAGGAGCTTGCAGTGGTCCAGCAGGTCGGTCAGATGGGCCACGAACCACCAGTTGCTCAGGGCGATGCTGCAGGTTCAGACAGCGGGGCAGGAAGGAAAGTGAGGGTGAGACGCCACGGCCCATGGGAGTGGGGTGCGAGCACGAACCCCACCCGACCTCTGCTTGAAAAGAAGGAGGGGACGAAGAGAACGGGAGGGGCGGCGCTGAGCCAGAATCTGTGGGGCAGAGAGTGAGAGGTTCCTCCTCCCTACGTGGGGCCGGACGCCGGACGCCCAGCGGGTCAGCCCCCAAAGCCGCAGCCCGTGCTGCACACCTATGGGGCGCGTCCCACAGCGGGATGAAACGCGGGGGTCCAATCATGCACAGAGAGCGCGGGCAGAGAACAACGCATGAACGACTGGTTTCCGATGCCCGCGCACCGCGGGATCAGGGGCGTCTTCGCCTGCATGCAGACGCGCTGCCGTCCCTGCCTGGGCGGCTGCTGACCAGTGCGCTCTGTGAGCGTCAACTGCACACCTGCGGTTCCACCTTAGAGGCCGGCTGGTATTTAGGTGTCTGTTACTGCTTTGTGTAAAGACATTGTCTTTTGCCCTAGCTGGTGTGGCTCAGGGGACTGAGTGCCGGCCTGTGAACCAAAGGGTCGCCAGTTCGATTCCCAGTCA